ATAGACACTTTTGATGTGTGTATATCTAAGTAAGGGGTTTAAAGTCAGTAAAACTATGTAATAATGCGTAACTAAGTTTTTCACTACAATACAAGGATATCGAAGAATCCCTATATTGACAAAACAGACGCATGTTCGAGTCCTAAAGGATCGAAGAAATTTTTTGTTATAAATGAAGTAATTTCACAAAAAGTAAATGAATATCACATTGGTGAACCATTATAATATTCATTAATACACAGATTGGACTGTAAGAAAAAATTCCTTCGGTCCGGCGGGATTCGAACCAACGTCTTCAACGTCTTCTAAGCCACGGAATGAACTAGCGGACCTTACGAATTTTCCTATGTGCTTGCTGCACTTGTTCACTTTTTTGCAGTAGTGCCATCTGTGAGAAATCTATGAAAGCTTTCTTCAGGAATAATTAATTTCCAAAAAATAATTGAATATCATAATGGTCAAACGTCATGAATAAAAAACTTAAAAATTACCATAAAATTCATTAAAATAAAATCAATATTACAAATCTTAAAGCTACATCCTGTGTCAACTTCTGCTGTAAGCTGTAAAGGTACCTGGTTGAGTGAAGAACTTGGTAGAGTGGCCGTAGATTGGCAAAACAGATACAGGTCGAGTCCTGTCAGAGCGAAGGAATTCTTCTTTGTGTTCGATCTTAGTTATTAATAATGATATTGAAGAAGGCTCACAATTCTTGAGAATTGTGAAAAGTCTCTTACTCATTTTGGGCCAGCGTGAACAGATTCACATTCATTTATTTCTCAAATATGATATTACAGTATAAATTACACTACATATCAAAGTATGAGAAACTATATTGATTTCGTCAAACAAAAAATGAAAAACATACACTTTTAATTACAATATTTAGTAGCAGTTGTACTGCTTTTGAAATTAAAATAAAATAGTAAATAAACAATAGCGTTACAATTTAAGATTGATAAATTAATTTACAGAGTATAAAGGGTTTTTCAGCCGGCGCTTAAATCTTTCGTCAGATGGTTAAAGTCTGAGAGTAGCGGGCAGACGCTACGACTAAAACCGTCTTCCTATCTTCAACAAGCCGACGTATATTGGTTTGATGATGTTGTACATTTTATATTACCAGTACACCTGCCTGGTCTGCAACCTGTTCGATGACGAAGACAAGCGTCAGTACCACTGTGACGGCTGCGGCATCTGCCGCGTCGGCGGACGGGACCGGTTCTTCCACTGCGAGAGGTGCAACATGTGCCTTCCTGTGCAGTTGCAGAGGGACGGACATCGGGTAAGATTGTTTACACTTCAAATCATCTAGGATTTACTGATTCGACACCGGGCGGGGAAAAGTATTTGTATAGCCTATATTTATTTCTCTCGTGAGTTTGGGCGTAATTTGTACGGGTCTTTGTATGTCCATGGAACCCGGTGACGGGTTCAGGCAGAAACTGTTCTTTTACTGGTAGTATTTTTTAGGTATATGATAGAGTGAAGATTACTTTGGTCCATGAAAGAAGACTTGGTTTGAAAGAATATGTAGTGACAAGTATAGAGAGTTATGTTGAGGAGGATGAACACGTCGTGCGACACGCCTGTTTATAACAGTTACAGTGACGCTCACAGCTTTAAATCGTAAAGATCATTGAAGTCTCCAACCGGCATTGGGACAGCGTCTCTCCTGAGCCCCGTGGCTAGCAGTGGGATGGTTGTTGATGGTAATCATTTTTATAAAAATAAACCGACCTCAAAAAGTTCGTGGAATTACAACTTTATTGAAATCGTTTACCGGATACTGCGAGTAACCGGATTCATCCGCTATGATGGAATATTTTCTTCAAATTTATTTGGGACTAATACTGAGGTGCCCTCTTTCCAACAAAAAAAGAATCATCAAATGGCACGGTATGCAAGAAGACGTCGTGTGAAGTAATTTCACAAAAAATAATTGAATATTAATTCAATAAAAATTTAATTAATACAGTGAATAGCGACATCTCTCGCCAGGACTAAAGTAAAGGTACTAACTGGGTGATAAATCTGTAATAGATTTCTCATAGATGGCGCTACGACTAAATAGTCGTTGAAAGACCAAGTACAAAGACACGACGCAAGCACATAGAAAAATTCGTGAGGTCCGTTGGTTCGTTCCGTGGCTTAGTTGGTATAGCGTCTGGCACGGTATGCAAGAAGACGTCGGTTCGAATCCGACCGGACCGAAGGAATTTTTTCTGAGTGTTCGATCTTTGTATTAATAATTATAACAAACTAGTGAAGTAATTTCACAAAAAATATTTAAATATCAATTCAATAAAAATTTAATCATCAAGACAAATGCCGGAGTAATAGCGTAGCATACATACAAAAAAATACGAACGAATAGAGAGCCTCCTCTTTTTTAAAGTCCGTTAAAAATTGAGTTACCTTATGTCGTTGTTTATTTTAATATTATCAAAGCGTCCTTTACGATAACTTATCACAAACTCGAATTTTTTTTCCGGAATAACGTTTGTTCTATTACACTGAAAACCGAATTATAACGAAACCGATGTTCTTTAAGGATATGTTGGATGTTTATCGCAAAGACACGATCAGATTCGGTTAGGTTAGGTTAAGTTAGATTTAAAAGAAAATACATTTTCCTCTCAAAATTACTTTCGAGGTTATGAAAATTCGACCAAACGTTATTTCAGGAAAATGTCATTTCGAATTACTGATAGGACCTTCACATTTGTTTTACTTATATCTTAAACTAACATAATTTATCAAAATCAGTGCGTAGAGAACGTATCCCGCTCCAACTGCCCGGTGTGTCTGGAAGACATTCACACCTCCCGCATACCATGCCACATCCCGGACTGTGGGCATCTGTTGCATCGGCCTTGCTTCGAGCAGCTGCTGCATTCAGGACACTACGCCTGCCCTACTTGTCAGACCAGTATGATTGACATGACCAATGTAAGTATAATAATAATAATCATAATGTTTATCCTCAAGCAGCCTCTACTCCATCCGTCTTCGTAGTTTTGTAAAAATTATGACGAAGGACGCCAATGTCTAAGTTTTGTGTACAACGTCGGGGACAATCGGGGACTTTGATTATGCGTCGAATACGCACATTGGGTATCCGATCGACATCGATCCGATAACAGCTACATTTAAATACTAATGTAAGTACGAGAGTGGATTGAAAAGTTCGCGACCTCACGTAGAAGTAATTAATGTATTTTTTTCATTACATTCATTTGTTGTCACAATGCGACATAGTATGTGATCTCGTTATGGAAGTCCGGAGATTGAGTATCAAGGAGATTGCAGACACTATGGGCATCTTGTATGAGCGGCCATAAAACATAATTGTCAATGAACTTGGATTTTACCAAGTGGACCAAGGACGTATTCGGCTCGCAATTTCTCGCGACTGTTTGGAAATGTTTAAGGGTGAACCGCAAAATTTATTGCACAAATTTGTGACAATGGATGAAACTTGGGTACACCACTATACACCAGAGCCCAAACAATAATCGAAACAGTGGAAAAAACCTGGTGAACCGACTCCAGAGAAAGCGAAAGCAGTTTTGTCGGTAAGGTGATGGCGTCAGTTTCTTGGGATTTTTAAGAATAGAAACTCCAATGTAGTAATTTAAACTTATTTATTCTTTATCACTTCGTAGAAACATCTATAATTCCAAATTTACAATTTCTTTTCACTAATTATTTTTCCTAATTACTTAATTTAATAATCTATTTTTATATTCGACTTCTTTCGAACGAGCAGCCCACAAGACTGTTCGCCACTGCATTTTTCTTTTTTCCTCCCTTCTACCCCTACTTCTTTTCCCTCCAATGGATACTCGCTTTTGATTGGTCAGTATAACAACCAATCAAAATCGAGCATCAGTGGCGCCACGAGTATATAAAAATAATACTTATGGCGCCAAAAATAATATCGAACTAGAATATATTCTTTAAAATTAAGGGAATCATAACAGGATGCTAAGGGTATCATCATGGTGGACTAACTAACATGGCGAAATAACTAACTCGGCATACTATTGCACCCTTTTGCGTAATTCGCGCGAAGAAATTAAAGAGAAACGCTCAAAATTACTCAGGACAAAACTGTTGTTTCATCGGATAATGCTCGCGATCACACTTCTGTCGAATCCATGGTTAAAATTTCGTAACATGGTTTCGAATTACTGCCTTACTCGGCTTATTTTCTTGGTTTAGCACGTCCGGATTTTCATCTGTGCCCAAATCTAAAGAAAACACCACACTAGCCAGAAATTTTCATCGAATGAAGATGTCGAAGCAGCATTAAATGGGTATTTTTAACACTTTGAAGAAAGCAAGGGAAAGAAATGCATAGAGCTAGATGGAGATCACGTCGAAAAATAAAATTATTTTTCTAAGCATATTACTTTATTTTCTTCGTTATGCCGCGGATTTTTCAATCCACTCTCGTATGATACACATATACACAGCCAACAAAGAGGACAAAAAGAATACTACTATTTTTTCCAGCCAACCAGCGTTTCAAACAGTCGAGTCCGTTTCCTATTTTATTAATTAATAACTATAGTCCATTTATTTAGGTACTTAACTAAACGTAAACAACCTTAATAATCTTTTTATTGAAACATATATACTTTACAAATCAATAGATATAAAAATAGGCATGCAATTTCATATGAAGCTAAATATTTGTATTTTGTATTTGAAGGTAAGTAAAGATTATTTTGTAAATAAACATATCAAGATTGTTTACATTTAGTTAAGTAGGTACTTAACAAATTGACATATGACTTTAATTTCTAAGTAATTTACACTTGTGAATGTTTATTGAAACATATTGATAATGGTCGAAAATAGCAAACATTATTTTTTTTATCTGGTATAGCCGCGATCTTACTAGATGATTATATTATTTCAGCTTTGGAGTTACCTGGACTCAGAGGTGGCGGCGACGCCCATGCCTCCCGAATACGCCGACTACAAAGCTACTATACTTTGCAAGGATTGTCATAAAGTATGTTGTTTTTGCATTGTTTGTTTTTTTAGTTTTCTCCCTGGCGTCTTAATGTTAAATATTGAAGTTAGGTTTCAATTTATGTTTTCTTTCGAGTCAGTAATTTCTATGTCCAAACCAGGTTTATATGTTGGATACAACTCCAACAATGTAAATTTATAAATTCGTTGAAAATTATTCAAACGCCTTTATCGAATTTCCTTTTATTGTCTACTATTTTATGTATTTTCCTAAAATGTTTACAAAGGCAGAGGAAAAAAACAATGGAAGAACAGCTGTTGCCAAAACTCACGCATTCACAAATGAGGCACTATTAAATTTTGATAATGATGATGATAATTTCTAATCTAAACAGAATAACAAATTCTTAACTTAATATAATTTAAACTTTGCCCTATTGACATATTGCTGAAAGCTCAATAACTTTTATTGTAAGTTACGACATTTTAATTATACGTAGTTTCATTGCAATTACTGAACGACGGCGAACGATTAACGCCGCCTATTAACGTTCTCCTTAAAAAGTCGACTATATTGCAGCGTTTTAAAGTGTAGTTTCGTTTCTTATAACAAAAAATCTATTAAGATAAACAGAAAATGGAAAATTTCTTAAAACAAATAAAATGCAAAAAAAACACCACCATCGATAATCTCATAGGTGCGACTATAATTTTTAGATTCCAAAGTAACAAAATTAAGCATTTTTCAACGATTTTCGAGATTATGCGCGAGTAATTGGCAAGACCATAACATATAATGCACGCGAACCTAAGCTCAACTTTGCAGAACTGCGTGTATTGTTGGCACAAGTGCGATGCCCACTAGGCACTTTTGTTGTATTTATTATTCGGGTTTCTATTCCATTCTATAGAAATCTATTCCACTCCGTTCAAATAAAATTTAAAATGAAAATCAATAAAATTCGATTGTATATTAAATTTAAATGGCCTTTCTTTCGTTCCAGTTGTCAACAGTGAAGTTCCACGTAGTAGGACTGAAGTGCCAACACTGCGGGGCATACAACACCTGTCAAACTAATGGTTTTCATAAGTAAGTTTTGTTTCACATGTGACTAACTTATTAACTTATTGGATATTTAATTGTCATATTGGTATAATTTTTGAAGCTATCAAAAGACGGTTCACCCGGAGGAACTTGAATGCGCGATACGCGTAGGAGATACTTGGACCTATTCTCACAGTGTCATATCTATTTAAACATTTGTAAGGCTAATAAAAGCTGAATATGTTGGATATTGAAATATTTTATTGTTGATAATATGTCTGATTTGTACTGTTTTAATTTTTTTCTTCTTAATGTAAGACTTGAAAGTACATGTGTATAGGTGGCCTTAGGTCTCTCTCTACTCATTTGGCGTTTTTCATTTAATATTTCGATTCGCCTTTGTTCGAATGTTTTTACATTATGGATAGTAGACCGCCAAGACGACCTATGTAAAGCGGACCCCTCCCAACCTGATTGACATCCTCATAGCGAAGGTGTTGACCACCATGCTTCTGTTCACCTTTCGCTGTCTCAGAGTAGAGAGTACAGCTTTAGGCAAATGTTGATCCTCTATGCGAAAGACGTGTCCGCTCCACCTGCATTTAACAATATTGTATATGAACAGGGACGAGGGCAGCAGTTCAGAGAACGCGAATTCATCCACTTCAACATCAACTTCGACCAGTCGGAGTGGCTCTTCTTCAGCCACCTTCTCCGAGGCAAGTCGAGAAGAACCCGCTGACAATCTACGCACAGCTAACCCGCTGGATGAACCGCCACAGGCTTAACAACGACACAGCTCTTGTGGGATTTTCTGCTGGCCACACTGATAGCGAAGCTGCGTCTGGATGGTCAGATCGGTGGACCGTATCCCGGTACACCGAGACCTGGTCGTCAGTTCTCTGGATCATGTGTACAGTGACAACAGTGCAGCTTAACAATGTGAACAGTGATAATTTATTACACACATATTCATGTACAGTGTAAGTTCCTGGGTGATCAGTTCCTTTGTTCTTTAATACAAGTGCAGTGTCTTCAGTGTGAAACTAGCATATGTATAGTGATATGTAAATAGATGGTAAGTTGTCTGATTACTCAGACTAGAACGGCAGACAAAAATTACATCCATTAATGTAGATTTTATATTGTATTATTATGGTCCGTATTATGTGTATAGTGTCATTATTTGTATCCATCCACAATTAGGCAGGGTGCCCTATATTTTAATGTTATTAAATAATTATTGTTTAAACTACACATACTGACACATTTAGCAGAACAAAACTAAAGTGAGATAACAAAATAGTAACGTTCTAAATTAATAAGAATTTAATAATAATAAATTATTGGTGCTATGAGTGTGTACTCATAGCCCCGCACTAGGAAAACCCTGTATCGCGGGTGCCATGGACACACGCATAGACAACCACAAATTAAACCCAAACTCACAAGATAAATAGGCCATACAAATATTTCCCCCGGCACGGGAATCGAACCCGGGACCTCTTGCGTGGCAGTCCAGGATGGTAACCATTCAGCCAAAAAGGCAGTTCAAACATAAGGTATGCAATTAAAACGTCTTTTAACATCAAACCTGTACAAACCTACTCAACTTGTTATTGGAATAAATCTTAATCAAATAAAATGCATTTGTTTAGATTTTGTGACGAAGCAGAAAAAGCTGAAAATTAAAAAATTGTAACAATTTAATGCAATGCAATTAAACATTCAACTAAATGTTTAAGAAATTTACAAGAATGCAGAATTCAACCTCGAATCACTCAACAAAAATATATCTAATGATTAATATAGGAAATTAAAATAAATTATTAAAATATAACAGTCAACAAATTTTTCATTTTTAAACCAGACTTTTTAGAACACCATTATTTTGGTGATATAGCTAATGTTTCACTAAATGTACCAGTATGTGCATATATTTAATAAGCGCATAAATACAACTGAGCAGAAGGTACCTCTACCTTTGTATGGACACATTTAGTTATGGGTTATCAGTACCCAGATTAGCAAAACTTTTGACGTTCAATCCGCTGTGTGATAAGTTCCGGAAAACAACAACGATTCCCCAATATAGTCATAACATAGTGATAAAGTTGTTAAACCTACTCCCATTGCCATTAACATGGGACTGTTTGTGTTTGGCTACTCAAAATATTTTTGTAAATCCAGCAAACATATATTTTTTCAAATTTGATCAAGTAAAAGAAACATTTTTTGTAAATATTTCAAATGCAATCTGTTAACCAACTCCCATACTACTAAAACGAAGCATACAGTAAGAAAATTAGGACATGAAGGAATATTGTAAGGGAAAGATTGTCATCTACCATGGCGCTAGGTAGTGAAATAAAATCCACCCTTGTTAAGTTGACATTTCTATAATAAATGTGCAAGCAGAACCATCCTGTGCAGTCAACATTTTCTAGTAAAAATGTGTGATTACAGTCCACCCCTTGCAGTCGATTTTATTTATTATGTTTTTTTTTTGGATAACAACAGGCTTAATGCATTTTGAACCTTAAAACATACTTTTACAACTTTTTGAATGCACCAATTGCAGTTATCCACTAATATAATTATTGACACTTTTTGGATAGGCCAATTACAGTTATCCACTAACATAATGATTGGCACTTTTTGGACGGGCCAATTACAGTTATCCACTAATATAATTATTTACACTTTTTGGATAGGCCAATTACAGTTATCCACTAATATAATTATTGACACTTTTTGGATGGGTCAATTACAGTTATCCACTTTTATTAGTATTGGCAGTAGGTATATTAGTCAATTTAAAAGTACCAAGAAAAGAAACAAAAATAAAGAATGAACAAAATTAAATAATTTTGTCTCTGTTAAAAAAAAATATTTGATCAATATTTCTTATATAATAGGTAATGGAATCCACCCAGTGTAGTCGTCTTTTATCATATTTAAATGAAACTCTTCAGGAATAATTTTCCCAGTGCTATGCTACATGCATCATTTTATGAAAAATGTTTTAGTTAATATATTATGCATATATAGGTGACAAACTACAATAAATTCAACCAGTTTGCACGAAATAAATAGTTGAAATATTTTAGTACAAAAGATAAAAAATAAAGAAACATTTATTATGTCATGATCACGTGAAGATCTTGTTTTATTAAGATGTAAAGTAATTGTTCAATATTTTATTCCAAATAAGCGTGTATTATACCCTATAAACAATAATAAATGTATAGTTGAGGCGGCGGTTGAAATATGTTATAATTGAGAAACATCGGAACAAAGTGATAACTTACAAAGGAGTTGTTCCTTTAGCGGTACTAAAATAAATGGAAAATTTAAGCAGGCTATTAGTTGGTTTCTTGTAAAGAGCTCTCAAAATCTAGACAGTCTGAATTAAAAACAAATTCTTTTTTTGGTTTTCGCGATTGTTACACATAGGAAATGAAACTATTTTTCCGGATTTAAATCGCGTATATTTGTTATTTTTTCAAGCAAAACGACGTTTCGGGCCCTTTACAGGTCCCATGGTCACGGTTGAATCAACCGAGTCAACAATTATACGCGATTTAAATCCGGAAAAATAGTTTCATTTCCTATAAAAACAAAATTATTTTTGACCTGCAATTTCCAGAAAATCATTAGGGATTTTTATGTAATTTTTTGGCTAATTGGCCAGTGGCCAATGCCATAAAAAAATGCGTTGCAATTTAATTAGCCAATTAGAGTCGGAATTATGATTTTGAATATTTTAGCGTTTAAGTGTTGCTGCATTTTGGATTTTTTTTGTATCGCAGTGTTGCTGGAATTAATTTAACATATCTACCACACTTTTGTTTTAAATAAATAAAAAAATGCAGGTCACAATAATTTTTTACATTGTTTTGCTAAGCTCTTTATTTCAAGCTTATATCGAGCAAAAAAAATTGAGGCTGGTTAATTTTTTCTGGGAATAACCAGCTCTATACTGATTCGGCACAAGTCCTTTGACTTGTTCTTCTTTTTTAATGCCAAAAGGTAGTTTTTGTAAGTTTCTATATAGAAATAATTTAAGCAACCTGAAGAGCAACCGCTAAATCTTCACTTCAAAATACGTGTCAAATGCACAGATCTGAAATCAAATGTTAAATACTTCGTCCAGAGAAGTACTGCCACCTTATTTCTACCGCCAACCAGTATTTAGAATCATAATTTAACATTTAACAGTTTTTGTTCTGAAGCTCCTGCATTTTATTTCTTACCAGCCGGCCATATTTGTTTATATTTTTGTTCTTGTCTACTAAAATAAGTTTTACAATATTATTTTATTTGCATTGCATTTCGGAGAGTGTCCGAAATCAAATTGGTTCCTCATTGGGTCAATAAGACAGTGAATACATAAGCGAATGGTATTGTAATATTTGTAGT